AAAAAAAGAAACCTTACTAGAGCATAATCTCCCAAAACTGGTTTTCCAAATGCCAACTTTTCTTCCTTTACCATCAAACTTACATTCTGGAGGCAGGTTAATTGTCTTAAAACATGGGGCTTTGAAATTGCTTAAGGAGTGGAATAATATATAAAACTAGCACTTCTACCTTCCAAAGTTTGAACTGAGATTTCAGGCCCATGAGTTTAGCTTAGACAAGGTTTCTTTTCATTAATTTACAAAAATTAAAACCTAAGAATATTCCTCGTATACTATGATATATTATTTCTAAGATTTTTAAATAGTGTTTCAGTGGCCTAATCTCACCTGTTAACTAACATATGGCTAGTCACTGAAGCTCATATCCCACTTCCTGTATAAGACCTCCTCTGACTGACTCAGCAAATCTATTCTGAGCTCTCATTCCTCAGGGCATTTTCCTTTGACATTTGCTCTATTACGATGTCAGTTCTTTCACTTCTTGTGACCAGACATCAAGTTTCATTCATACTTTCACTGTCAGAAATATTTAACATCATACCTTGCCCATGCCAGTGTTCATGATATTTTTGTTAAAATGCTGCATAAGAGGGAATTTTTCCTGAGATTTACTGGCTGACCACCCTATTACTTTACCAACTTTCCTAGTTAAAACTATGAACAAACAAAATTAATGTAAAACAAAAGGCAACGTTTTGGGAGTTAGCAAAAATATTTGTCAGTATATGTAGGGTACAGATCTCAAGCTGCCAAATGTGGCTGGTAAGAAACAGGCTACCGGTATATTTTTTAAAGGATTTCTTCCCAATCTCAAATCTTATCTTGCAAAATGAAGGTCTCCTTTTGAATTTCTATTTATAATCTCTGAATTGTATTTAAATAACATGGTTGTGGGTCCTCCCTGGGGGAGCAAGTGGTTAAAGTGCAGCACTATGAAACTAGCTGCAGCTGCTTTAGTACAAGTTTGATTCCCAGCCAAGGAGGTGACCCACATGGTGCAGCAGACCTCTCCTGTCTCACCCATTGCTCCCCTCAGCAATGTACTTCATCAGCCTTCCTGTTCTGCTCCCCACTTTGTGGTGAATCATCTCACTACCCTCTGCACCTCTGGCCTGTACCCCAGTTCTATATGCACAAGTAAATAAATCTTTAAAAAATAAATAACATGGTTGTGCATAGTACCTACAGTTTAGTTAGCTGAACAAGCTGATGAATAAGTCCAGCCTTCAGGGAAATTACAACAGGATTAAAATTGTTTACTGTTGGAAAAATAATGAACAACCATATACCAGAGACATGTTGTGGGGGTGGAGCGGGGAGGGAAATGCACGGGATTATGGGGATGGCACATGGGTGACTTGGTGATGGGAAACCCGCGGGGATTACAGTTGAGATGGAAAAAAAATGTACAAAATGGTGTAAAAATAAACTTTTGTAATAAAAAGGTAAAAAAAAATTGTTTACTGTTGGAAAAACAAGCTATATTGTAACCCATAGCTCTAGTGTTTGGAATTTATCAAAGTGCACATAGTATGGCTTAGAACTTTCCCTAAACCTTGGCTAAAACAAAGCTCAGTGTCAACCTATGCCTTCATGAACCAAAAATAGTTTCAGATGTTTTAATAAAATGCTTAGATTAGATAGCAGTCTTCTAATTATTTCCAGATGGCAGGATAAGGATTTATCTTGAAATTCTTCTGAATAAAATGAAAATACGAGCAAAAGTCTTTCATCTGGTTTAAAAACAGCCCTTGTGAATTACCATTTCATCCAGGTTCCTCGTCCTCTCCCACTTGCTACAACATTTTCTACTGGCATTTCCATTTTCTATTCCTGATGCTACTGGAGGAAAAGGTGCTGGAACAAGAAATAATGAAGAATGATAGATGAGGCTAGGTAAAGAGAGCTGAGGTTAGACTAGACAATAAGGAAAAGCAAGAGCAACTTAAGATAAAATTTATCCAGAATGAAAGTAGAAAAGATTCTTGGTGAGGCTCACAAGTAAATGCTGGAATGGAGCAAATGGAAGGCTCACAGTTCTTCAGCCAGTCACTAGGCTTGCAAGGTTGAGTTCCCTTGGTTAAGTGCCATGATGCCTTTTATTTCCGTTCAAGGGTTTTCAACACTAAGATCCCTCTTGTGATTCAGGACCCAAAACTGTGCAAAAGTGAGCAAACTCAGCCACTGCTTCACTGAGCTTGGAAACTATTAAGGGAGGTAACGTGTACATAAAACAGGATGAGATAACCTTTAGAATGCAAGTTTCAATTAGGGCAGACATTCACTACAAGCTTGGTGCAGGCAACAACAGTTAACATTTATCATAATATAAGAGTGAATAGCAGTTCCAGTAAGATCAAGATAAGGGACCAGCCTGTGGCACTCTGCTGGGCTTGAAAGAGGAAACCCAGGAAGCCAGAGAGGAAGGGAAGGCCAGGATTGCACTTGCAAGTGTCATTTCTAAATGCTTGACTTTTCTCTCATACCCAGTGGAGTTGGAGTAAGATTGTACTGTTGCTGTTATATTAGGAAAATTAATCTCTACTTGCACTTGAGAGCAGTAATGAGGGACTGATACTGGGAAATAACATGAAGATTCTAAAGGCATCTTGCAATAAACAGCCTAAAAAAATGGTAAAATCTAGAGCATTTCACCAGCCCCTGCATATTCTAAACACAATGTCAGAATGTCAGCTTGGTTCAGAGTATTCAGTAGAGTATAAAACAGTCTAAATGGACTTTTGTATTTATCTGCAAAGTTGCATCTTCTCCATTATATGCTTTTATCATTTTTTGTTCTTTGTTTTGTTTTATTTATTTTTGTGTGAGGCTAGGGTGGGCGGGCATCCTTACAATACACATCCTTATTGTAACCTCACAATGTTCTTTGAAATTTGAATGATGGTAATAATAGTAATAATAGCTCACAGACTGGTCAGACACTGCTGTAAATGTTTCAGGTATGAAAACACATTTATCCTCATAGCATTTCTGGAAGTGGATGTAATAGAAATGAGAAAACAGATTCAGAGTTTAGGCAACTTGCGTGTGGTCACACAGCTTGGGAGGTGGCTCCAGATTGACCTCCAAATTTGTTTTCACTTGAGGTTTTGTTTTCCTATCAGTTTTCTTATTTTAGTACCTATTTCTAATATCTGTAATATCAGTCTCTAAGAATGCTGCTTTGCCTTTAAAATAATGACGTGCACTCACCAACCTCCATTTCTCAAATGTACTGGGAGAAGCTATGATGAACAGAAAAGGTTGAAAATCTATCCTTGGGTGAGCATCAGGTGTTTACAGGTGGCCAGGTCCCTCATTCAGCAAATGATGGCGGAGATTTAGACCTGACCACACCTGGCTTCTTCACTCCTCTCCCTTGCTCTTTCGTGTTCCTAACTGGACAAGTATAGGACTTAACTTCCTCAAAGATCCAACTGAAGAATGCTACTACACTTAATTTCATTTTTAAGTTGGGCACAGTTTCAGTTATCAGTTTTGTTGGGTCTAAAGCAGCATCTGAATTTCTGGAACTTGAAGAAAGCGTACAGTAGTAGAGCCCTGGGAATTTCACTAGACACCCCCTCCAAGGTTGGATGCTGATCTTTGATAGAGTTATTCATTTTTAGAAGCTGATACCTGGCACTATAGTAGATGCTGGGCTCAAAATGTTTCCTGGCCTGAAGAATGCAATGATTAGCAACTATTGTTTATTGCCTAATTATAAATAAACTGAAATAGAGGGTCAGTCACATTCAGTGTTTCTATGTTCTCCAAAATTATGTAATACTTTGTTAAAGGACAAACTAGAAGACAAATACATTTCACATATATACACATATTTATTTTTGCTGACAACCAAAAATTAAAAATTAGTCTACTTTGGCTACATATTGATCACTGTTTTATACTCCCAGCTATGATTTTGCAGCAAAAATCATCAAAATTACCAGCTAAAATCTGAGAACACATCTTTGCTTTGCAAACCAAGATCTTGATGACCTATCTTGCCTTACCAGTTTATCCATTCATGGCAGACCTCAGAAATCAATAGCAGGAAGTGAATTACATCTTTTACCTTTCTTATTACAGATAAAGGCTCCTGCACTTTTTTCAGAATTCCCATACTACTTGCCAAACTTGGGCCCACTGTCTTTCTCCGGACCTACCTTATTCTATTTCTTTCAGCAGAAAGCTCTTTCTCCTTCACAGAGACAACTGCTTGGTATGCCATGTGGTAATATGACATCATCCCATCTAAACTTCAGATTTATCCTTTCCTATTCTTGTTCTATAATAATTTTTTTTAAAAAAACTTATTGTCGTTACCTTCTGCTCCTTTTGAAAGTTTAAGCACATTCTAGAATTTGCTTTTCCTGGCAGCAGTCCACACTGGTTTCTATTAATTACACAGTCATGGAAGTTTACTCCTGTACATTGAGGTTCTCTTCTAATCATATTGACACACTGTTCTAACCACATCGCAAACTTAATATATATCAGATGTGGTTCTAGATGTACTCACATATGTAATCTCAAATAATGTAATAAGTAAAATGACTTGCAGCATTGAGAGGCTTTATAAAGAAGCCTTTGCCTCCAGAAAGCTAACAAAGAACCAGGAATGTTGTCTAAGATCCAACAACAAATTAGGAGGAGTAGGACGGAAATATTAGAATTCCAGATTTTCAGAGACTAATGTTTATTCTTGGCTTAATATGTCTCTTTCTATTGTTTTTCATGTTATTCCACTTCTTAGTGAGTCCCTAGAATGTAACTGAAAGTATCTGAGAACTGTACACTGAGCTAACGAACTCTTGAATACAACTGAAATGTGCTACGTATTAAGGACACAGGGTTAATAAAATCTGGTCTCTGACTTTGGAAGAATGGAGTCGGTGGAAAATTGGTCAGAACACATATTAAAAAAGGAAACATGCTAACTGGAGTTATAAGAACACTGAGGAATCTCTTCCACTATCTGGAAGAATCAGGGAAACTTCCAAGTGGGAATAGCAGCTCTTGCAGTCTGTGTACCCCAGTGGGTATTTGCTGGAAAAATAGATTGAATTCATCTTTGCTCTTGGTTGTTTCACAAGATCCTTTTCCTATGATTTTTCTTAATCTTCTCAGTTAAAGTGTGCCTATTGTCTTTAATATATTTGATATTCTTACTTATATGCTTTAACTTTGATTCTCATCCCGAGGTTTAAAAATTCACCAGAATGTGAGGTTATCTGCCAAAAGGAAGTAAAAATTAATTTATGCCTTCAGAAGCAAACAAAAACATTATATAAAGCCCCATGTGGTATCCACAAATGTGACAGATGGAAATAATTTCTGTTCAAGCTAGAACAGTTTTAGGACTTTCTTCCCAGTAGAGACATTTTAAACTTTTAGGATACGATTTTAAATCAATATCATTATCAGTATTGAAGGAGCAATGCCTATGGGTGACTAATAGTTCAATCACATTAAAGTTTAAAAAATAAGAAAGAACAGAAGTCATTTTTTTTTAATGTATAGCATAATGGATTTGCATGTGGGACACTGTACTCAGAGAAAGGGGTTTGTATCTCAGTTTCATAGCTGTGTACCCTTGTGCAGTTGCTTAAAACTCTTACCTCAGTTCCTCTACCTGTAAGATGACAAAAGCCTTCCTTAATAAGGCACACTAAGAGGTGGAAGACACACCCCAGCTGGTGGTAGGGGCTTCTACATACTGCTTTATAACCACACTTGAACAACTGACTCGACCACTGGAGCCTCAATTTCCTCATCTGCAAAAGAGGATAGTAGAGGTACCTGTCTGATTGCCAGAAGCAGAGAAAGTAATGAATACACAGCTTAGCTTGGTGTATGGAAATTAACTGTCAGATGTATCTGATTATAAGATCTTTTTAAGGATAAAATGAAATGATATACTAAAAATACATACTGTAGTTTTGATTTAAAAAAAAAAAACTTTCAATGGGTTCCTATCAGTGAAACACTTTTAAAAAAGATTTATTTACTTATGTATACAAGAACTGGGGTGTAGGACAGAGATGTGAGAGGTAAGAGGATTAACCAGACAGACTGGGGAGCGGAACAGGCAGAGCTACTGAATACATTGCTGAGGGGAGCAGCAAGTGAGACAGGAGAGGTCTGCTGCGCCATGTAGGTCACCTCCCTGACCAGGGATAATGGAACTCCTGCAGCCAGTGGCTGAGAATAGCTTGATAGTGCTGTGTTTTCAACCCCTGCACCATCAGGGAGGCCTGCTACAGTGTTGATTTTACACATATTCGCAATAAGCAATAGCTATTATTATTAACACTTTCATTGCTCAGCTAGACAAATTAAATATATATTTTAACATTAAATAATTAATTGTGGCTCACTGTATAAGGACAGAAAATTATGATTGCAAATTTGTATTGGGATTTAGAGTCAAAGCTAACTGAAGAGAGTCTATGTAATTTAGTGGCAGAAGCTTTAATATTATGATAGTATAAGAAGAGTTGAGTTTATATGAACCAGATAATTGGGAAATATATTAGTCAAAGACTAAAGCATGCCTTTCATTTTAATATATTCTATTTCTTCAGATTTGGAGACTTGTGGCAAACATAGCAATAATAAAAACAAGGTAGGAAAACTCAAGCCAGTTTACTGTGTGTTTTCCTTATCTTCATCATACAGTTGAATCAAATAAATGTGTAATCTGATTAATTCTGCAAGCACTATTCTGTTTCAATTGAGATGCTTGAACAGAAAATGGACTGAAAACAGAGAAATGTGGGACTATTAGACATGGGCATAGAGAAGATAC